CTATACCGAGTACGCCAAAGCTTATTCATATGACGTTTTTTTGAGAGTTCAACATTTGTAAATTGATACTGACATGCATAACTAACACACATCTTCTGTCTGCTGCTTCCACAGTTGCTACTTACTAACACAAGGTCATGTTAGATTAAGATTATGCTAGTTTCTGTTGTTTGTGCTTGTGTGTATCTGTGATCCAAAGCATTGTAGCTAAAAGCTTTCTTCCACTTTTACCTGGTAGGCTTTGATTGGTATTTTTTTCCCTTTCCTGTCTAACTTTCACTCACTTAAGTCTTTTTTTTCTGCAACCTCCAGTGATAACAAGAAAAGAGAAATGCAAAATAGGGAAAGAGACTGTGTGAGAGTTTAGGAAAGGAGGAAGTGATTCAGGGAAAGGTAGTAGGAGTACTGCAACACATTTCTACTGCATAAATAGGTAAAAATTTAAATCCGGACTGAAAAAGCAGAATGTTTATACCACAGGCATGGAGGTGGCATTTTAGTAATAATATGCACAGCAATTAAGTCACACGAGCAGGCACTTACAGACAATCTAACGAATACATGAACTAACTGCTTCAGTCCAGAGGAAGGCCTCTTAATTCTGATTTGCAGAGAGTCCCAGCCATAGACAGATGAATGTGTAGCGCCACATTTCAAACAGGTAGAGACACACAGTTGTTTTGAGAGTTGTGCTGTCAAAGTGTTTAATTGTTGTTTAAGTTGTCCAGAAAACAGGTAAAGAGGAAAGAGGATATGATTTTGGAAACCCTGAGCCACCTGGTCGTCCCACCGTCACTGCTGACTCACATAAAAGCACCCATCTGTCATCGACAGTATGATAACGGCCAGTGTGAAGCTTTTGTTTCTAACCTGCATGGCAAACGGTGTCCGTAGTTTTGCCTTTTTGTGTAACCTGTGTATCTGCCATTTCTGAACCTTACTGCCGACTGTACATTTTTTTTCTTAGTGGTTTAAAGGACCTATGTACAATGTCTTTCTGATCTGATAATTACTGCTTATGCAATGCAACAATGCTCAAGAGTTTGCCAACATTTTGTTAAGATCACTTGTGTTGGACAGTAAAATAATATCCAGAGACTGCAAACAAACTGCTACTGTAGTGAAAAATGAAAACTTAGTATTATTCGTGTTGTATGAGTAGAACTATAGTACACATCTGTCAGTTTACGCTCCTGAAAACAGGTTTATAAATTCTTTCAAGTTTTTTGAGGGGCTGTAGGATATGAAGTTTATTTTCCTTACTTTGGACTGATATTCAGGGTTGATAAAACGCAAAGGGCATTTATGCATAATTGTAGCGGTTAGCCAAAATTATCTAATGATACTGTGCAGTAATATTATTAGATAGTTAACATGGTACATGAGAAGATGTTTTGTGATTTACAACTTGGAACTACTGGAAGAGATGCAACTGGATTTAGGAGAACAAATGCATGTTTACCACTTTTTGCTGATGCCAATAAAGAAATCATGAACTGACTACATACTGACTTTGATTATATCCTTTGGTTGTGTTATAGCATCTAAAAAACTAAAAGAATATAATGAAATGTTTTTTCCTCAACAAAATCAAAATTTTCACAATTTAATTTCTTTATATATTTTACATTAATTGTAATATTCTAAGCTTTTATCATTTTACTTTTGATGTTTAGGTCTCAAAAATCAGAAATCCAGTTTCACAAATTATTAGAATATTTCATTTAGAGTTTGAGTAAATTATTAGTCACACAGTATACTGTAAATCAGCGGTCCCCAACCCCCGGGCCGCGAGAGTTGAGGCTCAGGTGTGAAATGTATGGTTTTCAGGGTTTTTATCTGTTTTCAGCGTTATTTTGTTATC